CTGAATCTTGTATTAATACTGTACAGTTTCTCCCTCTGAGTTGCTAGCCAGCACACGGGACATAGTAAACAGAGAAGTAGACACTTTTTTTTCACGAATAAATTAACCCAACTTTTAGCGATGATGGTGATTTGTTGGTAAAATTATTGCCGGTACTGTGTATCTAAATAAATTAAGATTTTGTTAATACAGAAATGAATTTATGATTTTTCAGATATATCAATTATAAAAAATATTTTAAAAGGTGGCCCCGAATATATTGAAAGGGTAATGTTTATGATGGAAAAACCGTAATCATTATACATCAGACACATAACTCAGACGAAGCGGAATTCTGATGGACGAGTTGAACTAATGTGTGAGGTTTTAAAACATTGGTAATTGGTACAAAATATAATTTAAATTAAATATTTGATTTAATGAAGGTGTATTACTTGTTATGGTATTATTTAACACAAAAATAACATGCATAAAAAAATTTATGTAGCCACCAGTTTGGAACTCACATCTGATAAAATCCTTAAAAAATTTTGGAAAAAAAAAAAAGTGCAAAGACTGTAACAAGACTAGTCCCAAAACCAAAGGAATATGGTCAATGAGAGAAATTAAAGGAACTAAAGCTGATTACATTAGGACCGGGGAAGACTAAGGTGAAATTATTACAACGTACAAAAGTACAATAAAAGAAATGACAAGGTGTTTGAGAGGTGGGAATCAGGTACACAAGAACAAAGCCGAAAGTGCAGAAACAGAAGACTCACAGGGATTTCAGGAATTAAATTAATCAGCTAGTGGAACGACCTAGACAGTGAAGTGGCGGGATCTATACCTAGTTTTAAGATTAAATATGCAGGGCTCACACAGGAAACTGGAGGGTGAATTAGTTTCCAGCAGAGAGGCAGAGCCAGGAGCTGAATCTCGGTTTTCCAGCCACAGTTTTGATGAGTACACACACACACACCACACACACACACACAACACAACACACACACACACACACCACACGCACACGCACACGCACACGCGCGCGCGCGCGCGCGTGCTATGACGACGTACAAAGTACTGAGAGGATGGATCGATGAACAAGGACAGATGTGGCTTAAAGATGTTGTAAATACACAACTCATGCATAGCTTTAAGAATAGATAGATAGGCTCAGGAAGTCAGGAGAGAGCGAACCCAGTAGCAGCCTGCAGAGAGACTGGGCCAGGAGCTAAAAAGTCGAAACCCCCTTTCAACCATAAATAGTCGAGCTTATACACATGGGAGTTACGCACATAAACGTGACCATCAACATTAGCAAAAGAGCTCGGGGAGTAAATTAGGACAATTAGAGTTCAATTAACGAATTACTTCAGCCGAGAGAGAAAATTAGACCCGAATTTAAAATTAATCTGAGGAACGATTTAGATAGTAATAATAAAAGAATGATTTTCCCGGCCCCGATCAGCTGGGATATTCATTCAATTAATGGGTTTTTACTAATGAATAAAAACTGGGGTTTATCATCTGAGGCAAGTTTGTGTTAGTATGGAATAATGAGTGTACTTTCCAAGAGTTTTAAATGAACGTTTTATCAACCCTGAGTTTTTTTTTTCCATAGGGAAACATTGATCCTGAAATAAGCTGAGTTTTGTTAAATTCTGTTTTAAATGGAAATTTTCTAATGATTTTTCTAGACTTGTAAAATTTCGAGACAAATTAATGCTTAGAACTACCGATACCAAAGCCACCCGATAATACTAAATTGAGAAATCAAAGAACGGGTGGGGTTCGAACCCATGGCAGGCGAGTCCTAAACGTCAGGGGCTCTAAATTCGAGCCCTGATTTGTGATTTGTTTACATTCTTGTCATTACGATTTCATGAATCACTATGTAGAGAATCGTTGATCCTGCCCGACGTGGGAAGCTACCTACTCTCCAAACACATTACCGAAATCAACAAAACTGGTAGCATGAAAAATTAAGATGAATAATATAATCAGTGACAAAAGGATTAGGGAGTTACCTGCAGACATGATGTAGTGCCCCCAGACATGATGTAGCGCCCCCAGACATGATATAGTGCCCCCAGACATGATACAGTGTGCCCCCAGACGTGATGTAGTGTCCCCAGACATGATGTAGTGCCCCAGACATGATGTAGTGCCCCCAGACATGATACAGTGCCATAAGACATGATATAGTGCCCCAAGACATGATACAGTGCCCCCAGACGTGATGTAGTGTCCCCAGACATGATGTAGTGCCCCCAGACATGATGTAGTGCCCCCAGACATGATGTAGTTCCCCCAGACATGATATAGTGCCCCCAGACATGATACAGTGCCCCCAGACGTGATGTAGTGTCCCCAGACATGATGTAGTGCTCCTAGACATGATTTAGTGCCTCCAGACATTATGTAGTGCCCCCAGACATGATGTAGTGCCCCCAGACATGATGTAGTGCCCCCACAACGTGATGTAGTGTCCCCAGACGTGAAAGTAGTGCCCCCATACGTGATGTAGTAACCTCACACGTGATGTAGTGTCCCCAGACGTGATGTAGTGCCCCCAAACATGATGTAGTGCCCCCAGACATGATGTAGTGCCCCCAGAGGTGATGTAGTGTCCCCAGACGTGATGTAGTGCCCCCAGACGTGATGCGGTGCCCCCAGAAAGTGATGTAGTGCCCCCAGACGTGATGTAGTGCCTCCAGACGTGATGTAGTGCCCCCAGACACGATGTAGTGCCCCAGACACGATGTAGTGCCCCAGACACGATGTAGTGCCCCCAGACACGATGTAGTGCCCCTAGACGTGATGTAGTGCCCCCGACGTGATGTAGTGCCCCCCAGTCATGATGTAGTGCCCCTAGACGTGATGTAGTGCCCCCGGACATGATGTAGTGCCCCCAGACGTGATGTAGTGCCCCCAGACGTGATGTAGTACCCCCAGACATGATGTAGTGCCCCCAGACATGATGTAGTGCCCCCAGACATGATGTAGTGCCACCAGACATGATGTAGTGCCCCCAGACGTGATGTAGTGCCCCCAGACGTGATGTAGTGCCCCCAGACATGATGTAGTGCCCCCAGACATGATGTAGTGCCCCAGACATGATGTAGTGCCCCCAGACGTGATGTAGTGCCCCAGACATGATGTAATGCCCCCAGACATGATGTAGTGCCCCCAGACGTGATGTAGTGCCCCCAGACATGATGTAGTGCCCACCTCACCCATTTCTAGACTCCTCTCTTTCCTTCCTTTTGTTCCCTTTTCCTTAACGCTCACCAGACCCAAATTTTAGTTGTGTACATCCACTAGATTGTTCGACAGTAGTTACCACTCTTACAGCGGCCAAAGATAACTACAGGAAGGATGATTTTTCTTGTGCTCTGCATCGTTAAAAATCATGGTATACTCAATGAGTCTGGTGAAAGTTTTGACCTGGTAAATTATGAAAAATTGTTGAAGTAACTTGTAAGGCAATTATACTTAGTAGGTGTATAGGGAACGTGTTCACGTACAACGTACCATATATTCTCAATGATGAGAGGTGATGCTATACAGAGAAAAGTTTAAAATGTATCATGTTAACGTCTACGAGGGTGACATAACACCAAAGATAAAAATGAAAGATGTCGAAAATGATTAACGTTATAATCTAAATGTATTTTTGTTTGTACTAATTCTTTCAGAGAGAAAAAATATTTCACTGTTATATCTGCCCCAAAATTATTTCTACAAATTGTCTGACCCCTTCAATTGTTAACATTTCGAATCATTTATTAAGGATAATGATAGCAATACGGAGAGGTTGATAAGACACATGTGCAACGTTGCACATGTGTCTGACTTATCAACTCATGAGAGAGAGCTCATTTGAAGTCGTTGAGTCAGATTCAAGGCACTGGACACCATTAGCTTCACTATTAAAAGATATTCCTTCTCAAAAGCATCGTCATTATTAGGACTTGACTCATTAAAACTGTAATGGATTTTCATTAGCCTCGTTGTCTCTGTCAATAAGCACATTTCAGAGGTTATTAATGCTATGATCCACAGCTGTATCATCTATCATAACCTTTGTTGCATGATCGTAATGATAGATTTAGCAGCCACCACTGAGAAGCTACTGCTGAATTTTTCCACCACCAAAGCTTCAGTGGAACAGTAATTAAATACCTCAACTGAACTTGATCGTAAACTCGTGTGGATGTCGTACAAATTTAACTTGATTATTACCGGGACTAATTGCTTTTATTAAAGC